GTGTGTGTGTGTGTGTGTGTGTGTGTGTGTGTGTGTGTGTGTGTGTGTAGGTGCAAGTAGACCATGGGGACGTAAAAGTGGGGAGTTGATTCTCTCCCTCCACCATGTGGGTCCTAGAGAGCCAACTCAGAGTGTCTGACTTGGCAACAAGCACCTTTACTCCCTGGGCTGTCTTGCCAGCCCTTATGTATTTCTTATTTTAATGGAATGTATCTCCCAGTATGTTCCTATGAAAAGGTGTGTGAGAGAGACTCCCTCCCTGTCCTTTTTCTGTCTTACCACTTCTGGAAGTTTTGCTGGGCCTATAATTTTAAGAAGTTAACTTCCTTCAGGTTTTTTGAAGTGCTGTCTTCCAGCTTCCAGAGTTGCTGTCAAAAAATAAATCCAAGCCATCTTCATGACTGTTCTTTTTGTTAAGGCCCATTTCTTGCCTCTGGAAGTTATAGAATCTATTTGTCAGAGGTTTCTGAAATCTCACCACAATGATGAGAGTCCATGACATTTGTTGTTCAGGACACCCCATCAGATGTCAAATATGGAGACTCATGTCATTTTTACCTGGGTGGGATTGAATGATGTCAGTGACCTCTTGTTTTATCTGCCTTTTCCAGAGAACCTACTGAAGTTTATAACTTGCAGCTCGATATTCTTCCCTTGGGGTCTTGTGTGTGCTCAGCAGGCCCTTTACCAGACTCTCTGCTTTTTTTTTTAAAGTATCTACTACTGTTGATTTTTTTCCCCAATTTGTTTTTGCTTTTTGAAATAGCGTTTTTCTGTGTAGTGCTGGCTGTCCTGGAACTCACTCTGTATACTAGGCTGGCCTCTAACTCAGAGATCTACCTATATCTGCCCCTCCAGTGCCTACATCTCTCTAAGGAACTTAAATTAAGACAAATATTTTTGTCTGGCTTTGCTTTCATCTTCTCCTGGACAGTCTTTTCCCACCATGTTACTTTTTCTTGTTTGGTAAGTCAGTTTTCAAAGTTTCCCTTAGAAGTGAGAGCTGCATTGTGGGCTATTACTTCTAACTAGACTTACAAGCTAGGAACTATTGGTGAAATTATTAAGGCCACTCCACGTAGTTAAAAGGAAGATTTATTTAGTGGGTAACTTACAAATGAAGGGATAGGTAGGTCGCGGGGGTCTGGAAAGGTGTATCGCAGTCCAGCGGTGTTCTCTGGAGCTCTGCTCAGTCCACCTCCACTGTCCAGGGTTTGGGAACAGAGAGAGTGCTGGCCCATCCAGATCTCGGGTCTCCAGGCCCCTCCCTTGGCCCTGCCTTGTATGCGTGACAGTTGTCGAAGCCTCAATGGGGGTTGGAACTTCCAGATCAAAGGTGGAATGGCTACCCACTACAAGGAACCTCATGGAAGGAGCTGGCCAGTCCATTGAGGGGTCAGTAGGCATCTTTGGACTGCTCAGATTCCTGGAAGACCCTTTCACCTCAGCAGGGAGGATGAGCAGTTGGCAGGCCATGGACTCTCAGTATTCTGGATGCATACATTTTCTGAATCTATCTTTAGAATGCTTCCCAGGCCCTCAGCTATGCCAGCAGCCCTGAGCACAGATCTCTAGGATTCTGTGTTTCCAGAAGCAGTTGCTCAGACAGGAAGGCAGGAAGCGGCTCCTAGAGCTAACTATAGGACTTCCCTGCAGCCCTCTCCCAGCCTTCCTTGTTTTAGCAGCTCTAGCTAAAAACACCTCCTCACCCCCAGTTTTGGAATTGGAGCTGCCATTTCCTGAGTGCTATGGATTCTTTTCTTTTGAGGCTTTCACAGTGTAAATCCTGTTAACAACCTCCGCCTTGCCAGACCAAGGTTCCACTTTCTCTAGGCTCCGTAGGCGTTTATAGCCTGTTCTCTTTCCAGCACGGCATCGGTTTTGCTGCTGTCTTTTCTCCTCCACATCTGTGTAAACTTCGGTGCTTTTAGCCTTTGTAAAAGAGTTTCAAGAGAAGTCAAAATGAGGTGGCATAGTTGAATGAAAAAGAAATAAAAAAGGAAAGGAAAGGACATGACTGCTCCTAGGTATTGTGGAGGAGAAAGTTTATTGCAGATAAATGGGGAGCTTAGGTAGAAGCGGATATATCTGGGCAAGTTGAGTGGACATGACCGGGCTGAGCCGGGCCATGTGAAAGAGGGGGAGGGGAACAGAGAAGAGAGGGGGACCAGGTGCAGCAGCCAGGTCAAAGGTCCAAAAAGGGTGGGTAACCATAATGTCTGGATTATATAGGGAAGAGCCTCTGGGGAAAGGGATGCCCAGCCCTTGGGCTGGAGAGTTCTGGGTAGAGTGTGGGGTATACTGAGATCCACACCCTGTAACAGGTAGAAACTGAGGGATGCTAAGAGAACCTAGCAGCCAGGTCTGCTTTGGTATGTTAAATAAGCACCTCAGCCTAAGTTAGTTAGTTAGTTAGTCCAGGTTTGAAACAGAACAATAGTCTGTTCTATCACTTTGTTTCTTTTGTTGTTATTTGAGACAGAGTCTCTCTATATATAGTCCAGACTAGCCTCAAACCTGTGATCCTCCTTTATCAGTCTCAGCATGAGTCAGCCAGACACAGGGTCTATTTTAAATTTTTTTTTAATTATACATATATTTATTTATTTTGTAAGGCACACATGTCACGGTACACATAAGGAGATCAGAGGACAGCTTGCAGGGATCAGTTCTCTCTCTCCATCATGTGGGGCTGGGGATCAAACTCTTATCATCAGGCCTGGTGCCAAGTGCCTTGACCTGCTAACCTGTCTTGCTGGCCCCACAGGATTTATTTTAGAACTCACCCCTCAGTCTGCCATTTCTCTCATGCAGCAAGCAGATTTAGCTGCCTGAATTTCTCTGACTCCTCCCATTCAGCCATGTGAAGAAGACAGAGCTCTTATCTGGTTAGTACTCCCCCCCCCCCCAACCAAAATGTCATCCCGGGACGTCTTGACCAGTGGTACAGTCTGGTCACCAAAGGTCTCTTTGCTTTCCTCATCTCATCTTTGCTACTGTTGTCCGGACCCTCGTTAGTCTTCACATCTGGGAATGACTCATTTTCAGAAAGTCAGTATCAACTGTTCCAACCATGAAGTTAGTTAACCAAATGTTGGAGAATTGAGTTGTAAATAAAATAATTTGTTCCTTAGGCTCAACTTGTCAAGTAGCATTTTTTGATGGTTCTTTCCCGGAGTTTATGGGCCCTTCTGTAGGCGGAGCTGTGATGAGGTCCTGCCTCAGCTGCTCTCGCTCAGAGGTGGAGAGCACTTGCTTTATTCTTCAGTGGAAACGGAGAAGCGGGGAAGGTAGATGAGGCTCCCGAGACTTCTCATCACTGCGGATGACCGGCCGAGGTGGGGGAGGTATGACAGGCTCAGCTTCTCCAGGAACTAAAGAGAAGTTGGGTGACACTTTGATGCTGAGGCATGGGCTTCTTTTCCTGTCCTAGGTTCCTTGAGAGGTCTGAGCGACCTTGGCCCATGGGCACAATGGACCCATAGGGCCATGGAGTACTTTGGGCTGTGTAGTGGGTAGCCATTCCAGCTTGGATCTGGAAGTTCCAACCCCCATTGAGACTCTGGCAACTGTCACGCCTATGAGGCGGGGCCAGGGGAGGCGCCTGGAGACCCGAGAGCGGGATGGGCAAGCTCTCCAGAGCGCCCAAGGCGTGACAGTTGCCAGAGTCTCAATGGGGGTTGTAACTTCCAGATCCAAGCTGGAATGGCTACCCACTACAGGCTGAATCCTGGCCTGCCAGCCAAGAGCTCCTAAGCCATCTACTATCACTCTCTGTGATCCAGGTCATGGGATGGCCTAGGTTCAACCCCTTTGGGGAGGGGTCTAACGACCTTTTCATAGGAGTCGTCTAAGACTACTGAAAAGCATAGATATTTACATTCCGATTCATAACAGTATCAAAATTAGTTATAAAGTAGCAGCAAAAATAGTTTTATGGTTGGGTCACTACAACATGAAGAACTGTATTAAAGGGTCACAGCATTAGGACGGTTGAAAACCACTGGCCTAGAGGACAGGAGACCCCACAGGATCTCTGAAACCAGAGGTAGGTGGCCAGCTGCATCTGAGAAGGGACTGGATGCCAGCAACACTGTAGGAAAGACCAACTTCTGATTTGAATTCTTCACACTCACTCACAGCTCAACAGCACTGTGCACGCTGCTTAATTAAAGGGGCCTTGTGGATCTGCTTGGGTTTCTTCTCTTGGGTCTTTGCAGCCTCATGCACTCACCCAAATTAGTCTTCACCCACCCATTCAACGTAGGGTCTCTGGAGTATTTCAGTACAAGCAACCTTGGCCAGCATCTATGAGACCCCAGCTTCAATAAAGAACAACATATCAACTGGGTAGAACCCACCCTGAGTCACTACATCTGTCCTAAGTCGAGCTGCAGAGAAAGCTGAAAGGCTGGGGATCAGTGACCCACAGGAAGATTCACCTTCTAAACAGGCACACCGGGACAGCGAAGTGAGGAGGAGCTGGTTGTCACCAAGGTACTTTGGACTTTGAGAAAGGAACTGAAGCCGAGGAGGCGGGGACAAATTCGCCTCAAGGCTACGGGGCATGGGAGGGTAGTACCTGAGCAGAAGCAGGAAGAGGAGGAGGCCAGAGAGGAAGCCTGGGTCACCCTCGCTCCTGCTGAGCGGGCGGGGCGGGGTCCTGCGTGCAGGTGAGCGGCGGGGCAGGGCGGGGCTCAGCTGCGTTTCGGTGCCCTGACGCCGCTGAGGCCTCTAGCAGACACAGGCCACAGTCGTGCCCTACAGAGGCCGAGGCGCCCCTAGAGTCATGGCCCGCTCGGCCTGCGGGTTCTCAGTCGCACTGCTGGGCGCCCTGCTGCTGGGTACAGCGCGCCTGCTGCACAGGACAGGTAAGAGCAAGCTATGGCCAGGGAGGCGCCTGGACGTGGCGCGTGCGATCCAGTCCCCGTAGTACGGTCGGAGAGTTTTGGCGGCGCGAGGGTCCTGGCACGACTGGCTCTGAGCGCAGGCCGCCGCACGTGAGAGAGTACTGTACCTGGGTGAGCTCCGCGCGGGCCCAGGATCGAATACGCGCGCGGAACAAGCCTTAGGAGGATGCACTCAAGGTGGCGGCGCATTGTGTCCTGGGGAGTTTACTGAGACTCTTGGAGACTCCTGATTAAGGCATGAGAGAGCTTTCCTCTCCAGACCCATCCTCCACCTGGGCTAGAGAAGTGCTAAAAGACCATGGGTTGAGGTCCCACTGAGGTACCTCTTTACCTGTCCGCGCGCCTCATGTTCCTGAGGACCAGGAGCATTAACTCGAAAGGAAAATTCTAAGTGGACAATCACGGGCGGAGTGGACAGCAGCGGGCGTCTAGGTGTGGAGCCCCACTGGTGCCCCGCCCCTTCCTTGGTGGAAGGCTGGACAGTTGTTCCATTGAGCCTGTGGGTTTCAAGTAGTTTGTGTTGGGAGCCGAGGCTGCCCTGCCCCAGAGATCTGCTCCAGGAACTTGATGTGAGGCTCTTTCTCAGACTCATACAAGTTTTTTTGTTTAAAAAAAAAAAATAGTGCTGTCCAAATCGTGATTGAGGTCTGTGATATCTTTTCCAATGCCCAGGGGGTATTTGTGTTTGACAGGTATATAAATTAGCATAAATTAAATAATAAAAATGAAATGGTGGGGTGAACTTGGGCGTAAACCTCAGGAAAACTTCCTGGTTTCTTTTTCCAACATTAGGTAATATATTACTGCATGGTAGATAGAAAAATGTAAGACCACATTTAAAATTACACACACAGTGGTATATATTTTGTTATTGCTAAAGTTTGGTTTGTGTTTTTTCCGAGTCCGGGTCCCCGTGTAGCCCAAGCTGGCCTTGAACACACTGAGTTTCATGCCTCCACCTCGAGAGCGCTACAGTTCATTTTACAGATGTGGGCAGCCAGTGTACTTGCTTAGGACTATATTTTCAATCAGTTTAAAGGGCAGAGTGTCTAGTCCAGTGTGTGGAGTGCCTGCCTAGGATGTACAGAGCCTTGGGTTCAATTCCCAGTGCTTCATAAACTGAGCATGGTGGCTCATACTTGTGATCCAAGCATTCTGGAGGTGGAGGCAGGAGAATCAGGAATTCAAGGTCATCCTCAGCTACATAGTGGGTTCTTGGCAGGCCTGGGCTGTATGAAATATTGTCTTAAAAATACATTTTAAGAATTAAAAAAAATAGGGAGGGAAGATATGTGTGCATGAGAGAGGGGTGGTGTGGTGTGTGCCAGCACTGTTGGAGGCAGGCGACACTCTACAAGGTTGTTTTGAGATGTTTCTGACTTTCTAAGATAACAGTCAAAAACTTCTCTAGTAAGAATGTGGTATAAGTCCAGTCATCACTGAATACAAGATCTGCAGTTTGCTTTGAACTGGTTGCTGTCTATCTACACCACGAGTTTATTCTTAGACCCATAGCCTGGGAACATGGATTTTTGATGTGGTTACATGAACTTTTATAGTCACAGAACAAAAGAAACTTATAAATCAAGGCATTTTCTAAACACTTTGGTGGGGACATCAGTAGGTGGGTTACTTCAAGTGAAGTCCCTGGGCTAGTCTCAGATGCTGTCTGATGACATTCTTGGCTGTGGGGGTCACAGAAGCTAAGGATTTCCTAAGTTAAGGTAATACCTTACAGTAAGAAAAATGTTAGATCATATACAGAGGTGGGTGGTAAATGCCTATTTAGGGGACTATAGATTGTCCAAAATAATTTTAACTCTCAATCTGCAACATTCCAACTCTCCATAGTTAGGAAGTTCAAATGAGCCTGCCAGTCTGCAGGATCTTCAGCATAGAAGTAGGTCTAAAAAGCACCTCACTTCACATGTCACATGTCTCACTCACCCAGACCGGAGGAGGCTGTCATTTAGTTCCAGAAACTCCACTCAAGTCCTTCCTTCCAGGAAGGTCTGGGCTAGCTGAGTTGTATAAATACCAGGAATTTTACCAATTCACTTTCTTCTTCTGTGACCTCAGGAGCAGGGCCCCATGAGGTCACGTAACAGGTTGACTCAGCAGTGCCCGGTTTTCCTGAAGTCAGGCTCTGTCTCAACTGGTGGAGGCCTCTAAGGACCTGGCACACCTCAACAAAGAGTGGGAGTAAACTCAGTGTCACTGTAGAGATGGAGAGTAAAGGAAAGCTTGAGATTGGAGGAGGCATACTTGGTATTCCACCAGCTCCTTCCTGGCCAGAAGGGAAGCGCTGGTTGGATTAGAATGAAAACCTTTGAAAACACCATGCTGCTTGCTTCCAACCAGATACCAAGGTCCATGTCAGTGACCCCATTGTCTTGCTGCCATTGTTCTTCCAAAACTGGAAATGACACAGATTCAATTGAGGTCTCTGGCTGTTGTCTGGAGGTGTTACTAGTAGGAGGTGGAGTTCCACGGCCCTCCCCCACAGCCCACAAATTGCCCTGGGGTGAGTCACAGGAGACATTCAGGATTTCATGCCATCCACAGGCTCTGCTCAGAGTTCACCTTTGCTCACAGATAATGTTTTGTTCCACTTGGATATATATTGCAAATTTTTCTAGAATAATTATAATACTTTAAACATTTTTTAGAGCTGGGGAATGTAGCTCAATTGGCAGAGCTCTTGTCTGGCATGTACAAAGCCCTGTTTTGTTTTTGTTTGTTTGGTTTTGGTTTTTTGAGTCAGGGTTTCTTTGTGTAGCTTTGGCTGTCCTAGAATTAGCTCACAGAGATCTGTCTGCCTCTGTCTCCTGAGGGCTGGAATTAAAAGTGTGTATGTGCCACCACCATCCTGCTCATCAAAGCCCTGGGTTTAATCCTCAGCACTGAATAAACAGGCATGGTGTTGCACAAATATAATCCCAGCACTTGGGAGATGGAGGTAGGAGCATCAGAGTTTCGAGGTCATCCTACATGACAAGTCCCAGGTTATACTGGGCTACATGAATGAATGGGCACACCACAATTTCATTCGGATAGTTCTATTTAGTGGACGGGTGTTAAGAATTAAATAGCACAGGGCAAGAAAAATGGGTCTGTGGGCTAATAAGGCATTTGTCACCAAACCTAACAGCTTGAGTTCAATACCCAGAACCCACATAGTAGTAAAAAAGCCACTCCCCAAGTTGTCAAGTTGCCCTCTGACTTACACACACACACACACACACACACACACACACACACACACACACACACACCCTCGCTTATGGCACAAACCTCAACTCATTTCTACCCAGCAGTGCTAATGGGGATGGGAAGGAAGGGTGAGGTCACTGTGTGAGGTAGTGGAGAGTACCTAGACTCCTGATGGGGGGACTTGTGGCTAAGGCCTTCAGCTTTGTTAATTAAGAAAAGTTCACACCCTTTAATTGTAACTCCAACTATAAAAATTCTCTCCCAATCAAATTATTTCAAGCCACTTACCACAACCTTGTAATTAGCCCATCACCTTCTTCTGAGAGACTGAAAACACTAGACAACCTGACAAGAAGAACCCAGCCCCACTTCATCCCTTCACAAGCTTTTGTTTGTATTTGGTAGTTTTTTGGTTTTGTTTTTAAATAAGGTTTAATTATCAGCATTGCTCTGCGGTCCTACGATCGTTAAGCAGATCCCTTGTTTGTAGTTTTTACAATTTCTGGCTACTGCTACTCCTTCAAGCTGCCAAAGCATATGAAACATTTTCTGTGAAAGCTACTATTTTGTGTTTGGTATCCTACTTAACATCAATAATCCCTTCCTGAAAGCCAATCACCGTGATGTCCTAAGTCTCATTATTTCATGGTGGGGACAATTATTAACCTTTTGCTTGGCCATGCAGTACCCCCAGCAGGTTCAGAATGCGTAGTGAAACACAGATAGATACACACATGTAATTATCAACCAATGTTATTAAATGTGAAGTCCATATAGCATTGACTGGAGACTGCCAGGCCATATATGTAATTTATCACACATGGTCTCTTGGCACAGGGTAACCCACTTTACCTCCCTCTGTGGACACTCCAGGGTCTCTACTGGCACTTGATCTCTTCAGTTCCTGGCACATGGAACACAAGCAGAGACTCTCAGTACATCTTTTTAAGTGTTGTTTGGAGCTATAAACATATGTTTCCAAAATAGACATTGGTCAGAGTAACTTTGATGGAGGAAATAGAAGTCATAATCTTTGAACAATTAAAAATTAGGCTCTTTTTGTCCTGAGAAAATGTAGACAGGGGAGGCATGAATGGGCCTTCATATTCCCAAGCAAAGAGGTAGGCACAGAGAGCTGAAGTAACTTGCCTGAGATAACCCAGCTGGGTTACAGGGACACTGAGGTGATACTCGGGACTTTTGGTCAGCCTTGAGGTATTGTCTGCATCCTAGAAACTGCCCTTGATTTAAAAACAGCAAAAAAAGACCCACATAGGACTTAGTACTGTGTTTGCATTTATTCTAGGAATGTGCTCTCTCTCTCTCTCTCTCCCCCCCCTCTCATTAAGAATTCTTTTATTTTTATTTTAATTTATCTTTTTTAGTTTTTGAGACAGGGTCTCTGTACATAGTCCTTGCTGTCCTAGAACTTACCATTGGACCAGGCTGGCCTCAAACTCACAGAGATCCATCTGCTTCTGCCTCCTGAATGCTAAGATTAAAGGTGTATGCTATTATCTCCCAATTATAGGATTACAGGTGTGCACTGCCATGCTTAGCTGAGGTGACTGATTTGTGAGTCACCCTTGTCTTACCTTTCCCAGCAGAACTTCTCTAAATCCCACCAGGTTTCCTAAGCATGTCAGAAAAGCCCTGGAAGCAGGAACATTTCTAGGTGATTTTCTTGAAACACAATTTATTCCATTGCTTTAAGAACCATGGTGATCTGTGTTGCTATTAGTACTTCA